GGTTTTCAAAGCGTTTTTGAAAATTTTAAGGACTTTTTTTTTAAAATCAAACAATGACTTTTTCGTTGATAGAGTTAAAGTTTAAAGATTTCTCTAAAGATTTTTCTTTTTATATATACTAAATTAATTTGAAGAAAACTCATATTTATTTTTTAAAAAAACTCAAAATAAAGATATCATTTATATCATTTTCACTAAAAAAACACATTTTTATTTATTAAAAAAACACAATAATTATAACTTATATATCATTTTTGGGTTTTTTTGGTAAATAGTATTAAAGACACTAAATTTACATCAAAATTCTAATTTGACATTGTACTTTATTTGTCTTAAATTTAACTCTTTGATTTTCAATTTGTTATAATTCTGACCACTTGACCGGTTATCTGCTGATGTGACATGATGATGTGTCAGTTTGGATGACGTGACATACTGACGTGCCAAAATTGAATTTTTCCCACAAAAGACACTAACTTTTCATTTTTTTTAACACTAAGTTTTTTTTTTGACACTCTATTTGTTTGTTTTCCAAATTGAACATTTTTCCAATTTTGTTCAATGTTGACTATTTTCTTTTTGAATCCGTATAAATATTTTTTTAATACATCTTTTTTCATTTGAAAACCAGATTTTTATATAAATACAAGGTTTTTTTATTTATTTATTATTATTATTTTACATTCAAACTATAATGATATGTATAAATATGTATTAGTTATATAAAAACTATATTTTATATTAAATATGCAACTTTAAAATGAGTTTGGAGGTTTAGAAGCTTGTAGTTAATCAAAGTTCAAAGGTGAGATGCGATATAAATATATACCTAATAGAATTATTTAATTATAAATAAAAATATGTGTAAAATCTACGACAAAAATAAATAAATAATATTTCATAAGTGATAATTGATAAAATTTTGTTATTCTTATTCGAAGCTTATGGTTAGTTTGGTTCTCATGATATAATTAATACATATTTATACATAACATTGCTTTGAATGTAAAACAAAATGTATTTATATAAAAATATGGCTTTAAATGAAAAAAATGTATTTATATGGTTTAAAATGTAATAAAAAAATATTTGTACGGTTTTCAATGGAAAATGGCCAACATTGAACAAAAATGGAAAAAATGATGTTCAACTTGAAACAAAAAAATAGAGTGTCAAAATTGAAAAAAAAAATAAGCTTAATGTCTTTTGTAGGAAAAAAAATTCAATTTTGATATGTCAGCATGTTACGCCATCAAAACTGACATGTCATCATGTCACGTCAACAGGTAATAGGTTGATCGGGTCTAGTGGTCAGAATTATAACAAAGTGGAAAACACAGTGTCAAATTCGAGACAAAAAAACATAGTGTCAAATTAAAATTTTGGTATAAACTTAGTGTCTTTTGTGATATATTTTTTTTGTGATTTATTCAATAAATATCATACCTAAAATCATAACTATATATCATTTTTGGCATTTAAGATATATATTGTAGAATAACTTGAACTTAACTCGGTCACTTCTAAAAAAATATAAACTCTCTCTATTCTTATTTTTTACACTTGGGTCACTTCTTTTTTACAGCAAAAACCTGAATATTCAACAATAAAGGTATCAAGTAGCCTAGAAACACGCTCCATATGATAAATTAAGCAAAGTTCTCTTAAATCATATATGATAACTATAATCATTAGAATATCTATATCCTATATAAATTAAGTAGATGTTATTGATTTGTCGTATAAATAATTTAAGAGGTCTTTGTTGATTTATCGTAGAATATTTAGGTATTAGATGTAAGAAAGAAGTGATTTAGGTGTAAAGAACGACAATGGAGGGAGTTTCTACTTTTTTAGAAGTGATAAAATTAAATTCTAAGTTATTTTACAACACATAACTTAAATCCCAATATGGTTAAATAATTGTATATAACATATTACAATGGTTATAAAAACATATGCTAAAAATGATATACAGGTATGATTTTAGTTTAAAAAAAATGATATATAATTGTTTTTTTAAATAATTAAAAATGAGTTTTTTAGTGAAAGAAATGTAGATGGTAACTTTATTTTGAGTTTTTAAATAAATAAATATGATTTTTCTTCAAATTAATTTAGTATATATAAAAAGAATTTTTTTTAGAAAAATCATTAAACTTTAACCTTATTAATGAAAAAGTCATATCTGATTGTTTATTTTTAAAAAAGTCATTAAAATTTTCAGAAAAGCCCTGAAAACTAAGGTTGTAAAGGAACCAAACGAACAAACGCAAGATGTTCATGTTCGTTCATTGAAGTTAGTTGAACAAACGAACAAACACGAACGAACAAATGAATGCATTTTCTTGTTCATATTTGTTCGTTTAACAAATTGCCTTGTTCATGTTCGTTTGTTTATGTTCATGAACACACTAAACAAACATAAACGAACGAAGATAAACAAACATAATTAAACATATATGAATATAAAATTTTCATTTAATGAAAAATTTATGAGAAAATTGCAAATATAACCAAATTCCCTAATTACTTTGTGGAAAATATCCAAAAAAAACTCAAATTACAAAAATAGCCATCAAAATTGCAGATGGACTCAGTCCATCTGTGATATTACTTGTTCATCTGCGAACGTACAAGTCACTAAAGCACATCTGTGCTTTAGCGACTTGTACGTTCGCAGATGGACTAAGTACATCTGTGATTTTGCATCCATCTGTGATTTCCCCTTTTTCAGGGGTATAAAAACGTAATTTTTTTTTCTTTTATTTTTCAAACTTTTTTTGGAGAACTCTTTCTCTCTAGAGGCATTATGGACAATTTCATTTTTCAAAGCTTTTGTTGGAGAATTTATTTTATTAGAAATGTTTTAAACAAATATTCCAAAGAAATAAGAACTAAATTGATAGTTTTTTGCAAAACTTTATATATAATAAGGTTGTTTCGTAGTTAAACTCTATTAATTTTGTAGTCAAAATTAAAAAAAAATTAATTTTTTTTTAAAAAAAAAAAACGCAAAATCGCAGGTGGGATGAGAGGAAATCGTAGATAAACTTAGTTCATCTGCGATTTCAGGCCAAGATTGGGGTATTTATACGGAAAAATCAAAAAAACCAAAGAAAAAAACCACCTACGAATGTACAAGTCGCTAAAGCACGACTGTGCTTTAACGACTTGTACGTTCGCAGATGGAATGCTAAAATTGCAGATGAGTTTAATCCATCTGCGATTTTCAAGGCTATATTTGTAATTTGGGTTTTTTTGGCTATTTTCCACAAAGTAATTATAGAATTTGGTTATATTTGCAATTTTATCAGAATTTATTATTTCATAAGAGGTTGGCTAAAAATACATCTCATTTTACCATATACACACCTTAATTAATTTTTGAAATATATTTATTGGTTGAAATTGCATTGTTTTCCGAAAAAACTGATTATAAGTAGTTAATTATTTGTTGACTTTTATAAAATGGTCATTGGGGTGTCTAAAGCCTAAATGATGTCTTATTAGTAGCACCCTTAGCTATAACCATTAAAAAAATAATAAAATTGTGTTGCGTTTGACCTTTGAACCCAATGAGAGTCTTTATATGTTGGATGAAATCAGATGATGAAACAATCATTGTTCTTACACAAATAACAAATCATCATCAACTAACTTTTAACAACACATATTTTTGAGTAAATTACACGAATGGTCCTTATGGTTTAAGGTAATTTGCACATTTGGTCCCTAACTTATTTTTTTAACTCGGAAGGTCTCTACTATTTGTTTTTGTTACGCGTTCGGTCCCTGTCTTACCTAAAAAGACTATTTTGCCATTGATTTTTTTAATTTATTTAAATAAACAAACTCCCAACCTCACTCCCTCATATTACCTTATATACTCCATCATTTTTCCATATTTAAATAATAGTATTTTTAGGTAAGATAGGGACCAAGCGCGTAACAAAAATAAATAGTAGGGACCAAGCCCATAACAAAAACAAACAGTAGGGACCTTCCAAGTTAAAAAAATAAGTTAGGGACCAAACGCTACCCTAAACCATATGGACCATTCGTATAATTTACTCCATATTTTTATAGAACTACATGCTAAAGGAGCTTAGAAATAGGATTTAGAAAGTTCCTTCAATTGTAATTATATTTTTAAAAGAAAAATAAATGAAGAGTTTGATAGCAAATGCGGATTTGTTCATGATTAATTTTTGTGTGAAGTACAATTAAAATTAGATATATATCTGTTTTGAGAAAATAATAAACAAGGCTGGATTCGTCCACGTGAAAATTAAATCATGGCTACTTTCTTTATTATGTTAAACCCCATGTCAACTCCATAAGCCATTCATGATCCTTGCTGATTTATTTTATAATCAATTAAAAATTTAACAAAATAAACTCAACTTTAATGGCTTGCACGTCTACCATAAAAACTCCATACGCAAGCAATTTCCTTTTAGCAAATTAACGTAAATATAAAAGTCCAGTTATTTCATAATAGAATTTTTTCCCGTTAAATAGTCTCTTATTTAATTACAAGGATATACTCTTTTTAGTTTTATGTTAAGTATAACGATTATTATTTTTTATAACTAATTAAAACCCTTTTCTTTTAACTTTTATTATTAGAAAAGCAATAACTTTTGACAAAAAAAATTATTAACTTCATATTTTGATTTAATGTGATATTTAATAATATTATATAGATTTTCAAAATGGTATAATATAATATATTAAGAAACATAAATAAAACTGTAAGAAAATAAATTAATCAATAAAGATATCTTGTTAAAAATCGAATAAGTATATATTTTATTATTTTTACGTAATTTAGGCGCGGAGAATATGCTTTGCGAGTGTTTGCCGGTGGGATATTATTTGTTTTGAATTATATTAGTTTATCAACAAAAATAAAAAATAATAATAAAATTGTGTTGCCTTTGACCTTTGAACCCAATGAGAGTCTTTATTTGTTGGATGGAATCAGATGATGAAACAATCATTCTTCTACACAAATCATCATCAACTAACTTTTAGCAACTGGGTTTCGCTTGTTTGATTAAGAAGTGCTGGGATTTTTTATTAGACTGTTGCAAATTCTTTAAAAACAAGTTTTGATCATGAGCATGGTGATATACTGATATGAGTCAGAGTTTTCTTCGAAGAATTGAGCTTTTCTTTTTCCTCTCTCAGAAGACAAGAATTGAAGAATTAGCAACTGTGATCAGATGATTTCTTATGATTGTTAACGAAAAGGTGAAAATCCCCAAAGGGTTTGCTCTGTGGTATTCATTTCCCCACATTCTGATTCATTCGAACGTTTTTGTATTATTGTATATTCCATCTTCGTTCTCTAGAGTCCAAAAATGTCCAAACACTTATCGTGCACACCAACTGTTTGCTTTTATGCAGGACTGAACATCAAAAGTTTTCGTGAAGAAAAGAGGTGTAAAATGGAGAAATTTGACGTTTTAGAAGAGATCTGTGATCCTGGATTAGAATCATTACGAATTTCATCAATGGATCATGATCAATCATCACCCACATTGAATTCAACACACAGTGGAAATTCAAATTCTTTTGCTTACTGTAGAACTAACTCAGAGACTACTTCAGTTTTTTCTGAGCAATTAACAGATGATTTTACTAGCTCCTCATCAGATAGAAATTCTCCAGTATGCTGGCCAGCTACAGGAAGATCACCTTATCAGCCAACCCTTTCAAGATTTGGTGGAATTAGGCATAATCACAGGCAAGATCTGAAACCTGCTGATTTTGGTGAGTTTTTTTTTTTATTGCAATTCAATTAGTTTATTCACAGAATTTTGATTTAAATTTCTTTGATCAGAGCTTGAAATGATGAAAGAAAGATTTTCAAAGCTTTTGTTGGGGGAGGATATGTCGGGTAGTGGGAAAGGAGTTTCAACTGCAGTTACTATCTCTAATGCTATCACAAATCTTTATGGTATGTATGTACATACATACTCTTCTCTCTAAAAGAATTGCATAAATTATATAAAAAAAGTAAATGAGGGCTAGAACCATTATATAGAAAAGTAAATGGATATTTGAATCTTTGTTGTAGTTTCTATGTTTGGTCAACACCAGAGGCTAGAACCATTATATATGGATAAAAAGATGATGTGGAAAAGGGAAATGACATGCTTATTATCCGTATGTGATTACATTGTTGAACAAATACCACCAATGCAACACTTACAAAATGGAGCATCCATGGAGGTAAACACCAAATAAAATTTTCTTTTTATTATTAAAGGTTTAAATACTTGTTTTATTATTGTGAACTAACCATCATTCTTTTAAAAATGCCAAATCCCCATTTGTTTATCGAAACAAGACATGACATGGGCTGCAAAAGACGTAATTGTCCTCCTCATCCTCATTGTCAAAAAGTAGCCCTAAATAAACACTTTAGTTTGCAAACATTAGCCATTAGATGATGGTTTTTTTTTTTTTTTTTTTTTTTTTGTGTGTGTCAAATTACAAGAAGTGAAATCACTTGTGAATTTTTATGAATTTTCCATTTTGAAAAAATTTTGATTGGATTTGGTTTTAATTTTTGTCAGACGATGTTTAGCAGGCTGAGATCAGACATAGATATCAACCTTCCCGCCTTAATTAAGCTTGATGCATTGCTCATAGTAAGCACATTCCTTAATCTTCTTGAAAACAAACACCTCTTTTTGCTTTATCTATATTAACTAATGAATAATTTCAAAGTATGATGCTATAATAAGAAAAGATATCTAAGTACAATGATATATTAAGGAAATAAAATAGAAAGTACATTGCTATTTCTTGCATTTATCCCTACGGAAACATGTATATTTTACAAAGTACAATTCCTTACTAAGAAAAAACGTAAGTACAATGATACTTGGAAAAAAAAATACAAAGTACATTGCTATTTCTTGCATTAGCGTCTACCAAAACATGTATATTTCTTAAAGTACAAGTCCCTAATAAGAAATAATTTGAAAGCACAATGCTACAATAAGGAAAAAAAACATATATACAACGATATAATAAGGAAACAATAGAAATTACATTGCTATTTCTTGCATTTAGCTTTGGTAAAATAATTTGAAAGTACAATGCTATAATTGTGAAAATTGAAGTAACAATGATATATTAAGGAAACAAAATAGAAAGTACATTGCTATTTCTCTCATTTATCCCTACTAAATCCTCTCTATTTCTATTTTAGGAAATACTAGAAAGTTTTCAAGAAACGGAATTTTGGTATGATGAACAAGGAAGCATATCGGGAAAGTCACTAAACGGATCATTCCGGAAGGTTCCTCAGCCTCACCGGAACGAAGAAAAGTGGTGGTTGCCGGTGCCTTGTGTCCCCTCCGGTGGTCTCTCGGAGGCGGCTAAAAAGCATTTGAGACAGAAACGTGATTCGGCCAATCAAATACATAAAGCAGCAATGGCCATAAATAGCAACCTACTTTCCGATATGGAAATCCCTCGTACGTATACTGCTTCCCTTCCTAAGGTTTGACTTTGACTTTCACCCTCTATTAATTTTCACTTTTGACCCTCTATAAAAAATGGGAATATTTTTCAAAGATTTTTACAAGTGTAACAATTATTTACACTCTTCTAAATCTTTTTTTAGAGTGGAAGAGCAAGTGTAGGTGATACAATATACCGATACATGACTTCAACAACCAAATTCTCCCCAGACTACCTCCTCGATTTGCTCAACATAACCTCTGAACATGAAGCACTTGAAATAGCGGATCGTGTAGAGGCGGCTATGTTCACATGGAGACAAAAAGCATCCTTAAACCATCCAAAAACATCATGGGACATAGTTAAGGAACACATGGAGGGGGACAAGAATGTAGTACTAGCCGAAAAAGCACATGTTTTGTTGTTTAGTTTGAAACAACGATTCCCCGAACTTGCACAAACAACATTAGACACGAGCAAGATTCAATACAATAAGGTGAGTTTGTGAAATGTTTTTGATACTAAATGGACATTTAGGTGTTGTTTCTTTTTGACAAAAGGGCAAAATGGTCGTTTTTCGAAAATGGGAAAATCTTAAGTTTGTGGAAAAAGTTGTTTTTCTTTTTCATTACTTGCAGACATTTAAGTTAACTTTTGACTTATTTCCATACAAAAGGGCAAAATGGTCATTTTACGAAAAAGGTCAAGATGGTAAGTTTGTGAAAAGTACATTATCTAACACAAGTTGATGATAGATACCGATGCAAACAATTATGGGCTAAATGAAAGAAATATTGATATACAAAAGCACGTTGTTATTTCTTGAATCTAACCCTAAAGTAAAAAAGTACATGGTAGGGGTGAGCATGGTGCGGTTTTAGGGCCAAACCGAACCGCAAACCGCAATGTGCGGTTTTTGAATTCTAGAAACCGTTGGGTGCGGTTTTTCAATGGTTCGGTTTTGCGGTTTTTGAGTGCGGTTTCGGTTTGTACCGGTTCGGTGTCGGTTTTAAACCGAGTCAAACATATGGTGTGGTTTTTTATGTTCACTGGTATGATTTTTTTAACCGTGATGCTCATGTGAAGATTTATGATTGTATGACATGGTGTCATTTCTTTTCCTCACATTTAGAAGCTACAATTTTGAGGTTTTTATGTTGTTTACTTCATCACTTCATTTGCAACCCATATTCCCAAACTTATTTTTTTTATTCAATTTGCGCTTAGAAGTTACAAGCTTGCAAGTTGTAGCACACATAGTGTTTACACTTTACACATAATCATTAAATCACAAACACAAAGTGACAAACTCATATATTAAACCTAATATCTAATTACTAATTGCCGTCAAGTTCAATATATAATATATGTATAAATTATAATTTATTAGTTTTTTAAATAATATGTATAATTGTATAATATAAATTAGTGATTTATTTTATTGTTAATAAGCTTGTGGTGCGGTTCGGTTTTGGTGGTTCGGTTTCTAGATAAAAACCGCACCGCACCAATAAAATCGGTTTTCAAAAAAATAAAATCTGCACCATCGGTTTTTGCGTCGGTTTCGGTTTTTCGGTTGCGGTTTTTGCGGTTTTTCTTTTATCGGTTCGGTTTTTGCTTACCCCTAGTAGATGGTTCAAAATATTTTCATAATCCGTTCAAACTTGTTTCTTATAAACTTTACGTTTTCTTTTTAGCATTTTTATAAGACCAATGCTTTTAAAAAGTCACTTATGTGATGTTTTTTTAAACATTCTAATTAATATCCGGTGTACATGTAGGATGTGGGACAAGCTATATTAGAAAGTTACTCAAGGGTTTTGGAAGGTTTAGCATTCAATATTGTTGGTTGGATTGAAGATGTATTATTTGTAGATAAATCCATGAGAAACAAAGAAGAGTGTTAGGTCTTGTTTTTGCAATTTGTAATATTTTGTATTTGTTTTGTCATTATATTTCAGCATGAGAAATAACCCTTTTTGGGGTTTATAACGATAGTTTGGTCTTACTTGTAACAATAATTACAAACAAAAATTATAGTATAAAAATTATTGAAGGTCATATAAATGCCACATCAGCAGATAATCCTTGAAGTTTCATCATACAATAATACTTAACCGGTGTCAGCGCACCAGCTTTGGTACGCAAATCAACAACCGCAGGGGCATGTCCGTAAAATGACCGCCACTTATTCTCAAGAACAACCGGATCTTGAGGCCTACGAAACCACACCACCTTTTTAGGAACCAAATCATCCACCTCGGATTTTTTTTTCCAAAAATGCCCTCCACGCCACCTCTCATACTTAAACACCCCACACAACCGCGCCTTATGTCCAGATGGGCCCACGTGAACCTCCGAACAATATTTACAAACTTTAGCCGAATAAACAATCATCAACTTCTCAACACCCGATCTAACCACCTCCCATGCCCTCAAAGTTCCTTCGGATAAGAAGATTCAACATCTCAACATTCAATTTTGTTTCTAGATATACCCTCGAGGTCAAAATCAAAATCAAAATCGGCACCTGCTTGCGGGTATTCGGTTGTAATCGAATCGTTGGTCGTGTTTGATCACATTTTGGAACATGGTTTATAGGTGGAATGTGTTTACTGGGACAAGAATGTCATTTAGACCTCCTTTGATCCATTCGTGAGGTTTATTCTTGGAATGACGTTTGTACCCATGGCAGGTTTTGATTGCGTGACCCTTCTCACCAATGTATACTTCTTCACAGAATCTGCAAAAATGAAAGATGGTGTTTTATCAATCATCAAACCAATAAATTGTATGTTGTTGCTATGTTGAAGAAACAAAAGGTATAATGAATGAGAGATATAGAATACTTGCAAGACCAGATGGGTATTACTTGGAGAAGAGTGGATACGCCTTGAATCAAAAGGCTTCTTGATCTTACGACAGCATAAGCAACAGGGATCATGTCTTTTACTGGATAATATTTGGATAGATTCTCGATCCTCTTCAGAATCATGGGCCTCAATTTCATCAAATCTACTTTTGGGTTTGGTTTGATCTGTACTGTCGGGTCATCCCAATTAACCCTTGTATCATCATTGTGTTATACCACAGTCTCCGATTCTTCATACCTGCCGATATGTATATACATAAATCTGAATCGGATTAAATTTGAGGCTCACACACAACAAAGAAATCGATATTGGAGACAGCAAAGAAAAAAATTGAGGCTCAAATCAGCAAAATCAAAACTTAGAGGTTCAATTCTTTGAGGCTCACACTCACATACACACAACAAAGAGATCGACATTGGGGTTGGTCATTATGCCCAAGAGCCGACAATTGTTCCAGAGGCAATTACATCACCTAATCTTTGGATATGACATGCATTCTTTGGTCCCGCTGGTGCAAACAACGACATCAATGTTCTAAACCAGTCGCCAGTATTTAACGATATCTATCTTGGAAAGTCGCACGATGTACCTTTTCAAGCAAATGGATAGCATATAAGCGTGGGTACTATCTTACTGACGGTGTATATATCCTCCCTTATCTGTTTTTGTGAAATCGTTTACATGTGCTATTGACGAAAAAAGAAAAAGGTTTAAAGAGACGCAAGAGTCAGTTAGAAAGGACGTGGAGCGAACATTTGATGTACTTAAGAGGCGTTGGCAAGTACTAGCAGTCGGGGCACGGTCATATGAAGTGAGAAGGTTGCAACACGTAATTTATGCGTGCATTATATTGCATAATATGATTCTTGAAGACGAATGAAGAGCGATATATCGATACAACGAAAATGAAGTTTTGCCAAATGTCGAAGGAGTAGCCATTGGTATGCAAGAGTATAGGGCAAATAGAAGAGAAGTACACAATCGCGACATTCATCACGCCCTTCGTGCTGATTTGGTGGAGCACGTTTACATTGCTCATATTCAGCCGCCGACAGAGTATTGGCACGATGATTTGTTTGACGAATTAGATGATGATTCGGATATGTTCATCGAGGGCGAGGATTCCGATGACGATAATGACGTTGATGAGAATGACGATGACGATGAGGTCGATGCCAAGGACAGTGATTCCCAATGACGTATTTTGTTTTTTTTTTAAATTCGTATATTAATTATGTTTTTTAGGTTGTGGTTTTTTAATATTTGTTGTTTTCTAGTATTTTTTTTAAATTTTTAATATTGCTTATTTTTTTGTATTTTTTAATGTTATTTTTAATTAATGAATTGGTTTTTATTTTTAATTAAATTTTATGTTTATTATTCATTTAAAAAAATTATAAATCATCAAAATCAATTAATTTTATTTAAAAAAAACAAAAAACAAAAAGTGAATGAAGTTTCCCGCACACTCCCTGGCTTTTGGTGAGGGAAAGGAAAGTGGGGGAAAGGTTGACGTGGTAGCGAAAAAGTGAGGGGAGTTTTCACACGTATCCTCCGGTCTTATGAAATATGAAGCAACTTTTTGCAAGGAAAATGGTTTTGAAAGTCCCATAGAAACAAAATCTTAAAAAAAATTACTGATAAAAAATTATAATTGTTGCAAAAAAATTTTTATAGGATACAACGGAAAATTCATCGATATATAAAAAAAAATTGTTTTTAACATTTTTTTTGGATAAGGACCATGAAAAGTAAAGTTTGCCAACGAATAGTGGTTTCGTGGCTTGTTGCAGAATTGATGGTTATTTGTAAAAAAAAATGCAAAATCATATAGGAATAACATAATGGTTAAATTTGTCTTTTTCCCTTAATTTTTTTGAACCCGTCCAAAATTTTCTACTAAGAACTGATTTTGTCCAATGCATTTTTTTTTTAAGAATTTGTTACAAAGTAATCATTTTTATACTTGGAACAAACCCAATTCCACTAGATTAAAAGGGGTTGAACTAAAATGTTTAAAGTGTAATACAACTGGTTTTGGGGTGGTATATTTGTAAATATATTCTTGTATTCGAGTCATCAATTCCAATGTGAGTTAGATTTTTTGCTGGCATTGGTTGTTTAACTGATTTTGATCTCACATAATACTTTTGGAATGCTTAGAAACTAACACAATGTTATCAATAAAGAGAATTTAGGGCATCTCTTATCTTGATAGGCTAGAATTTGCCTTTACACTCGAATGATCTACCATGATTTATACATCATGCATTAAAAGTTGTACTTTATATCTATGTAGGGATATGCACTTTTTTTATCATCATACATCAGTCAATGAACCACTTCTAAGCCTTAAAGGAGTAATGGGTTTCTTTGATGATGTTGTTGGAAAGGATTTGAGAGCTTCAATTTTCGGTTTGCATTTATCATAGTCTCCTTTGTTTTCTTCCAAACATTTCCTTAAATCTTCATTCACATCATTTCCTCTTCCACCATTGCCGCCACCACCACCACCACTCTTGACTTTCTCCGATCCACCATCATCCATCGTTGACTTAAATTCAGAAACCCCAAAAAGATCTGGGGTGTAAAATCAAGATCTTTTTCTCTCTATATATTCTTTATACACCCTACAAAAATAACAAACAATAGCCAAAAATTGCATCAAGATCAAGGATTGTCATCATGGAGATTCCTCAAACAATATTAATTTTATATAAAAGTCAAGAATCACCACAAATTTCTCAAAAGAATGTCAATTTTATATAAAAATCAAGAACTTGTTGTATAAAAATGAAGATTTGGGACATGGTTTCCAAAAGAATTAGAATCATACCAAAAATAAAGACTTTAGGACATGCGTTTCCGAAAATAAATTATAATTATACCAAAAGTAAAAATTTTGAACATGGGTTTCCCAAAATTAATTAGAATTCATAATGGGGCCTTGGAATTATATATAATTATGCCAAAAATCAAGAATTTGGACATGATTTCTCGAAATTAAAACAACAAACCATGATTTTAGGCATGGCTTTCTCGAAAACTTAGGATTCATACCCAAAATCAAGACTTTAGTGCGTGGGTTTCTGAATGAATTAAAGTTCATATTAAAATCAAAATCAAAATCATATTTAAAATCAAAAACTGGAACACAATGTTCCCAAAACAAGAAAATGCAGGTGAAAATTTCAGAAATTTTAATAAAAATGCAGGTGAAAATCAAGAACAGGGAACATTAATATATTTAAAATCCCTCGAAATTCTTCCCAAATCATAATTGCGAAGAAAAAAAAAAATCTGATGCAAGCAAAAATCAAGAACATCGAACAAATTTATGTAAAAACCTTTGAAATTTTCCCAAATCAAATTAGGGAACAAGGGCTTTCAACAAAATAATTTCTTCCATCATCTTACGAATCAGGAATTAACAAGCAAACAAAAATTCAGAAACTGCAGTAAAAATCAAGAACAGGGAACATCAATCTGTCTAAAATCCTCCCCAAATCAAAACTGGGAACAAGCGACAAAAAAAATATTTTCTTCGATCATAACAACAATCAAGAACATGCAGCATCAAATTCTCTCAAACCTCTTGAAATCTTTGTGAAATCAAAATTGGGGACACGGGTTTTCAAGAAACAATTTCTTTCCAATTTTCCCAGATAAGAAAATGAAATTGAACATTCGAAACTTACTCTGAATCGTTTTCAATGCGTATAAACACACGATTGTGATTATAGATGATGATAACGATGGCGATGAATGGAAGAAGAATCAATTTATGAAGAAATAATCACAGAATATGCAAGCTTCAACTGGCCCATAGCACCTTTTAGAGTGACAGCTCATATATTGTCACAATGAATTTTGTATTTTAACCAGAAATGTTATAGACTTATAGTGATGTGGGGTCTACTGTAATTCATACGTGACTATTTATTGGGATTATCAGGATAAATTACAAAAATAGTTCTTGTGGTTTAGAGCGATCGGTATGGGAATCCTTAACGGCGTTTTTCCTTACGTGTAAACGGCATAACGGGAGACCCCCCCTCCTCGTTATGTTTCTTCTCGTTGTCAAACGCCACTTTTGGAAAATTTGGAGGGTTCACGGTCAATTTAAGTAAAAAAAAAAAAAAAAAAAAAAATTACACGAATGGTCCCTATAGTTTAGGGTACTTTGTGCGTTTGATCACTAACTTATTTTTTTAACTCGGAAGGTCCTTACTGTTTGTTTTTATTATGCGCTTGATCCCTGTCTTACCTAAAAATACTATTTTGCCCTTGATTATTTAATTTATTTAAATAAACACACCCCAACCTCACCCACCTTACCTTATGTAACGCCCCGATTCTCAGGTATTAATATTGTGGCTTTAATGTTCAAGTTTCAAGGTCTACTCGACGAGGATGCCCTGACTCGTCGAGTAGTAGCGGGTTTGAGACACGTGTTTAAGTGACCAACTCGCCGAGTCGGAAGACTGACTCGACGAGTTGGAGCTGGAGGGTGAAACCCTAATTTCCGGGGTTTGGCACCCTATTTAAATAATCATAAGCCTCCTTCAGCCTCTTTACAGTTCCTTGAGAGCTCA